ATTGTGTATGGTTGCCACGTACTGCCCCGTGAAATTTTCTGGCTGGAATTTGGGTAACTCGGTAATTGAGAAAGCTGGGAACCTGGGGTTTCAAGGGAATGGTCCCTGTCCAAGTATAGCTTGGATAATTAACTTCCCGAAATTCGAAGACTAGTACGTACAAAAGTTTTCTAGCTAGCGGATTCGAGTGATCTTATTGCAGCACGAAGCACTGCAAAAACGCATGATCGTACGGGCCCGCCCAGTGCGCGTCGCCAGTGATTGGGCTTTATGTTGCTTGTTTTTTGTATGCGACATAAGGGGATTGGGCTGCCGCCTTACCATTCGCCTGCCACCTTAGCATTTGCCTTTCGCCTTTTGGATTTGGCTGCCGCCTTAGCATTTTCGCCTGCACCTGAGGATTTGGGCTGCCGCCTTTGGAGTTCGCCTGCCGCCTGAGGATTTTGCCTGCCGCCTTGGGAAAGCCCCGAAATTTGCGACACCTGTATGCAGAATTCATGATAGTAATAGGTACTGGAGATTGAGATTTTATGCGGCACCACATGTAACATAATCATCTCAGCCATAGCTCCTTTTCCTCCTAATTGCAGGACAAGGCGAAAACATCGCCAACATAAGTGCACATGTTAAGCTGTAAAGCAATAACCATTCATGCTGTTAGCGGGCCGATTGCTTCAAGATCCTTGTAATAACGCATGTTCATCACAGCCCAATTTTACCTACGGTAAAAATTTTCTGTTTTGTATGATTTGATCTCAAGTCAATTGAGGCAAAATGGGTGATGAATGCATTAGAAATAGCACCGCTTTAAGGACACGGAATTTTTAAAATCTGATGAAGCAAGCCTTCTTTGCAGTGTAATTTGTTATGCGTTTTTTTCATCTCTGCAGTGCAAAAATGCATATTGTCTGGGGGTTGTCTTCGCATGTGTGTGCGCCTGTACCAAGTTTTTATCTTGAGACCTACAAAAGCTGCAAGGCTAAGACTTCGTTAGTTTAATTTACACCTTTGTGCTGCCCCCATCCCCAAAATGGTCGGTCATATCCGCGTGGTCCTCACGTACGGGCACGTGAAAGATTTTTGGCGGGGAAGCGATTTCGGGAACAGTGCAAGCTAGAAGGCTGAAACTTCGCGAAGATATTCTTTGCCCACGTCTGACCCAAAGATTTTAGATTCAACCCCCACATACCCCTAAATCTCACGTAGTTCACATCAGAGTTTAAATTGGCATCGTATCAACTCGAGAATTAAGCTAATCGAGAAGTTGTAGGGTGCTGTAATTTTACAGCGTTGCTTGGCGCCCACTGGTGTGCCCGTGAAATTGAGCTTTCCAGCTCCTCTCCATCTCATGTACGGACACGTGAAATTTCACGTAGACAGTTTTGTAACTGTGAAACTGAGGCAGTTAAAGGGTTGAAACTTTCTGAGCGTGGGCGACGGTTTCGTTTTGCCTGTCGGCCGTAAAAACAGCTTTCATGTTCCTCTCATTTCTCACGTGTGCATCACGTACAGACACGTGGGAGTTGACGTAAACCCGCAACCAAGACAACTAGAATGCTCATATTTCCTGGAGATAACCCAGGACGGTGTTTGGGTAGATGCACGTAAAAAAACTTTTATGTTCCCCCCTCACATACGAATACTTGGAATTTGATGTAGCTCTGCAACCGGATCATCTAGAGTTCTGAATTTTTTTTGCACATAGATTGTGAGTCATTGTAATAATTTCGAAGAATCGTGGTAGCCACTCTCAATTCTTTTAGCTAGAAGCACCTGCTGGAAAAAAGTGCTATTAGCGATAAAAACCTGCGGGGAACTGTGCAAAAAACGCATCTTCGCACTGGCAGCCATTATTTAGACTGCTGAACGTCCCGTGATTTTTTCAGGAATGTTCGCGAAAATCGTGAATGGGAACAAAAGGTAAATGAGAAGGAGAACAAGCTCCGGGAGTTACGCCTGGTGAAAAATCGCTTGGAGGATCGTGTTGCAGAATTGGAACAGATGCTGGCTGTTGAACATGGAAACGCGCAGTCCATGAATGAGGCACTTGAGCGAGAAGTAGAGCTTCGGCTACAGGTTGAAAAACAGGTTCTGGTGCTTCAGCAGCGTTTCCACGGTAAGCCTTCTCTTGCTTGTACGTAAAATAAATAGCGATGCCTATTTAGGGTAGCCGGTGCGATCATGCGTTTTACGCAGTTCTATTCAGCGGGTAGTTGCCTTTAGGAATATTGGGCGAGAGACGACCGGGGGGAACGGGAATGGGGAGAGTGGGGCTTCCGACTTAGTGACGAACAGGAAGGGGGGCGGGTTCCCCCTCCCCCCTCATTCCAGGAAATCGCTCTGGATCTGTCTGTATTCCTACCTGAACAGAAAACATCTTCCAACAATTTTAGCTTTCTATTTTGTTTAGTTTCCTAAATAAAAATTACCGACGTGAAATTCCACTTGCCCGTACCTGAGGCAAGTTTACATGAAAACTGGATTTAAAGTTTCTGAGTTGTGGCGGTCGAGTGATGGGGGATCCCGACAGTCGGGCGCGGGCTCAGACGGTGGGGGTTCCGATGGCGGGCGGGTGGCCCTGAGGATGGGCACGAATGTTCCGACAGGGAACCGAACGATTCAAACGGCGGGCCAGGGGCCGGCTTTAACGGTGGCTTGGGATGGTTCCGGCGATGGCTTTGCCTCGGGAAGCTACAAGATGGAAAGTTGAAAACCAGTATGATGGAAAGCAGAAAATCGGCAAGATGGAAACCCCAAAACTCCCGCATGCCTATTCTTGAGAATTAGGTGTAAGTGGAGACTTAATTCAAATTTTTGAGGGTGGACATAAAATTTCAGCTTCTTAGCATTTGTGGTTCCTAGGTTATTGATTTTGGCGTCAAGACTTTCATGTGGCCGCCTGTGAGATCCTGATGTACGCGAGAGCTGGATTTAAATTTTCAGAGTGATAAGCGGGCAGGGGAATTTTGAGGTGATGTTTCACCTTAAAATTTTAGCTCCCTGTCTTTTGTGGTTCCCGAGTTAGTAGCTTTGGCGCCAGGACTTTCACTGGCCATACGTGGGGTCTGCGCGTATTTGATGATTGACATCAAAGTTACGGTGTCAGACGCGGTTTGGGAACATCCCGTTAAAATTAGAGCTCCCTAGTTTTTGTGGTTTTCGAGTTGAAAATCGGGGACAAAACGCGCTCGAGTACACACGCAAAAAAAGACGTGACAAGATGATTTTTGTGCAACTGTTAGACAGTACAAAACACATAAAAATTTAACGTAAAATGAAGGATTAATTATACGTGAACTTTAAGATTCAAAAGAGGATTCGCGTATATCTTCATCGTGCTCGTCTCATTCTCGTGTTGACCAGAGCTTATATCTCGACGCTAAGGTTTTTTTTT